CCCCTCACTTTTTTTTTTTCTTTTGAGATAGGGTTTCTCTGTGTAGCTCTGTCCATCCTGGAACTTCCTCTGTAGACCAGTCTGGCCTCGAACTCACAGAGATCCACCTGCCTCTGCTTCCCAAGTGCTAGGAATAAAGGTGTGTGTCACTGTGCCTGGCTACTTCATATTTTTTGAGATAGGTCTCTCAATGACCCTGAATCTTGCTGACTGGCTACACTGGCTGGCCAACAAGCCCGAGAGATCTTCTGGTAGTTGCCTGCCCAGCATTGGGGTTGCAGATGTGTATTTCCATGCCAGATTTTTTTTTTGAATATAGGAGATCTGAACTTAGATCCTCGTTCTTTGCACAAGTATATCCACATGTGAGTTCAGGCGCCCCTGGAGCCTAGAAGAGGGCATCAGATACCTTGGAGCTGGAGTTAAAGGTGGTTGTGAGTCACCTAACACGGGTGCTGGAGACCACACGTGGGTCCTCTGTGAGAATAGTGCGTGCTCGTGATTGCTGAGCTATCTCTACAGTTGCCTGGCACTTTTGGAAAGATCTCATAGAAGTAATGTTGTGTTCCTGGGGCATCAAATCAAGGAATATACAAGCTCAGCTACCTTTTTGAAAGGAATATTGACATGAGTTCTGTAGAGGGCAGCAGAGGACCTTAGTTGATGGATCATCCTGGGCTAAGCTGAAGTAGGAAGGATTGAAACAGAAGAACAATTGTTCATGGGTTGTGGACCGTTGCATTATCAAAGAAGGGAGAAATCAACATCAGGTAGGAATTATTTTTGCCAAGTCAGTTAGTAAAATTCATGCAAGTGAAGCTACATTAATTCTGTCTTTCTTATTAACTGTTTCAGAATAGAACATTTGAATTCAGATGATCTGGCCAGATTTCCTGAAGTGGTTTTTGGATACCTGTCACCATCCATGGTTGTCATCAGCACACCAAACGCTGAGTTCAACCCCCTGTTTCCCACGGTGACCCTGAGGGATGCCGATCATAAATTTGAGTGGAGCAGAATGGAGTTTCAGACCTGGTAAGTTCAGACGTTTTCTCGTTTGCTGTGTTGCTTGGTTGGTTTTTGGTAGGAATCCTGCCAGAGGAAGTAAGCTTTGATATGTCTGTCTTAAATTGTTTCTTACTTCATTCCAGCAAGGTCTCCATGTGTGGCTTACCTTGTAGTAAGATCACAGGGAAAGCAGCACTTGTGGGCAGCAGGAGAAAAGAGTGTGTGTCTACTGGATGCTCTTTAGGAGGCACCTGGGGTGTTGACGTCGAATGAGGACCAAAATGGGGAGGATGTGGGCTGTGAAGGGAGCTCACACCCATGCTTGGGGTGGCTTCTTGGCTTGTGCACATTGTTTTGGTGTAATTACAAATGCATGCCATCAGGGCTGGAGCCTTTGAGGTTTCTTCATCCACCCCTACACTCTGCCCATCCCATAGCCTCCCTTTCCTCTTCCTGTGGTGACTTGGAAACTGAAGATGTGCTGCCTTTGTTCCTACAGAAGTCAGGCATCCTGGTGGTACATCATACATGTGTAGGGATGTTTAACTTTAGGGGTTTTTTGTTTGTTTGTTTTGTTTTTTGAGGTGATGCTTCCTTATATAGCTCAGGCTAGCTTTAAAATCCTCATCCTTCTGCCTTATCAGTTCAAGTGGCATGATAGGCATATGCCTCCATGCTTGGCTTAGCAATAATTTCATTCATATATTTTCTGTTTCCTTAAACTACCAACAAAGAAGTCACTTAAGAATTGTTTGTTGCCGGGCGGTGGTGGCGCACGCCTTTAATCCCAGCACTCTGGAGGCAGAGCCAGGTGGATCTCTGTGAGTTCGAGGCCAGCCTGGGCTACCAAGTGAGTTCCAGGAAAGG